ATGAATTTAATCGATTAACATTTAATTTTGAAGATGATCCCTTAGCTTCAAATTAAATTGTAAATTTGTAATTTGTAAATATGTATTTACTTTTTACATTGTATTTGTAATTTAATAAACAATGTAAGTTTGTACAATTTGTAATTCGTCACAAAATGATTGCACTCTTTTTTCCTTGCCAAGTTTTTATCCCAATTGGGTTTTTCTTGGTAAGGTTTTTAATGAGGCAATCATGAATTACAAATTTAAAAATTAATAAAGAAATAATTTTTTTATATAGTTCGTGTGTTCATTTCAAATTTAATATATATATATATATATAAATTGTAATACTAATATATATATATAAATAACTTAATATTAAAAAAAAAGTTTAAAAAATTCAGACAATTCGGGCGGGCTCGGGCCGCCGAATACAAGCCCGCGGCCCGTTCAAGGTGAAATTCAGGCTCGGGCGGGCGGCCCCAAAATCTCGGGCGGGTCGGGTTCGGGCTCGGGCAAATCCTCGGGCTTTTCGGGCGGTCGCGGGCGGCCCGTCCAAAGTTCCAGCACTAGCAGTGCCCACAAATACATTACAAACAATGTGCATAAAACCACGTCACTGATCACCAAACTCTGATTAAACAATTCATCAAATGAGCACCATTCTCCATTTTTCTTTTCATCCAAACAGCTAATGTACAGGAAAGAAAAAGATTACCAACAATCTACAACGAGCAAAGTTTCAAGTTGCAGATTACAAAGGAGATGATTTGGAAATTGAAAAATCACCATTTTAACTTCACAGTTCCATGCAATTGCAAATAATAGCAGTAAATCATAATCTTCAAACTTAAAAGAAGTCAAAGAGTTTAAACTTTTAAAAGAATATATATATATATATATATATATATATATTAAACATGTTCAAAAAATAGCGGGTGGGCGGGTTCAAACCGCCACATTCGAAACTCTAAACCGCCTCTGCCAACCGAAAAAGGTTAGCAAGTGGACAACCCGCCCATAATATGCGGGTGATGACGTGGACCCATTTTAGCTAGTGGGGCGGGGGTAGGCCCGGTAGGGAGACTGATTTGAGTGGTTTGACGGGGTTCATGAACAGTTATAAGGGGGCGTTTGGTATGCAATAATCTTAAGGATGAGAATGTAAATCTGCAATATTACCATGTTTGGTACAAGAATTATAATATTTAGATTCTCATAAAAGTGATTACCATGTGATTCACTTTCCATCATTTTAAGGTAATTTGAATACCACCCAACATGGTGTTATTCAAATTCCCAGGAATCTCAAAATCATGGGAATCTTATAATAATAATAATAATTATTATTATTATTATATTTAATAATAATAATAATTATTATTATTATATTTAATATTATTATATTTAATATTATTAATATTAATAATAATAATATTATTTTATTATTAT